CTTACAAATAAAAATGATAGAAATGTACCTCTACACTGTTTTTGCAGGCCAACACCCACACCCCCATCAAAACAGAATTTTCATTACACATCTCTTTAAGACCAGATGATTGACAGCAGTGCACCTATCTATACTGAGTGTAATACTCAGTATACAACAAATGTGCAAGCCACCTTGAATATTTTAAATAGAGAGGCGAGGTAAAAATATTTTAAGTAAATAAATAATAAAATAATACTACATGTGTGTAATTTTCCTTTAAAGGTTTAACACTGTAGTAAAGCAGATTAAGCAGCTCTTTCAGTTCATACCCAAGGAGTCATTCTAATTCAATTGGATCCAAAGTTAATCCCCTTTTTGCTTCCAATTATTTGGCTTCTCAGGGGTTACAAAGCAGCCTGCGAGAAGCTCAAAGCATTCATAAACTGTTGGGCTATGTCTACACTGGCAGGTTGTTGCGCCAAAAGTATGCAAATGATGCTAACTGTGGAATATCGCCACGCCTCATTTGCATACCTAATGAGCCACCATTTTGCGGAAGAGGCTCTTACACTAGAAGGAGCTGTCTACACTGCCCCTTCTTGCGCAAGAAAAACCCTCTTGCGTAATGCCGTTATTCCTGAAAATAATCAGCGTCGTGGCATTGCACAAGAGGGTTTTTCTTGCACAAGAAGGGGCAGTGTAGACAGCTCCTTCTAGTGTAAGAGCCTCTTCCGCAAAATGGTGGCTCATTAGGTATGCAAATGAGGCGTGGCGATATTCCACAGTTAGCATCATTTGCATACTTTTTGGCATCCTTTGCTCTTTCTAAAGGTGGGGAACAATTCCAGCCTGATGAATCAGGACAGAGATAAGACTATCCCTGTATTTATTTCTCCCTCTTATCATTTAAATTTGATAATAAACCAATTCTTAAAAGATACTCAACTTTCTTCCTGCAGGAGAGCTTTCATCCGTTGCCTGTGATGAATCAAATGCAATGAAGTGTGGCTTTAAATCAGAGGTTAACATTGTAGCTTTTTCTTTGGAATGCAAGTGGTGAAATTTGAGGCAGAAAATCATCAAGCAACATCAATCGCTATCTTGCTAAAAACAAAAGAAAGACATTGTATATAATCCAATATGAAGGCGTATTTTCTTCTAATATCTCAGTGCATTTTCAGATTTTAGCAATACCTGCTTAATCTTCAGTTTTAGTCTGGCAGTAGTTGTGCATGTTGAAGTGGTGTATTCCACTGTACCGTATACTGGATTCCCATGAAAAAAATTTCATAAGGTCAGGTCAGGAGTGCTGAAACAATTTTTATAGTGGGGGTGAGAGCTCTTGAACCAAATTGGAAAGCCATTATATTATGGAAACCACTTCAAGCGAGGGGATGCTGCACCCAATTCCCTAGTTCTGCCATAGCTCGAGTGGAATTTTTGCCCTGCCTGCCTGGGATGGCCCAGTTATGTGTATGCCAATTTACTCTAGTGACTGACCTTGCAAAGCTGCTCACCGGGCTGGAGAGCAGGAGTTATGCTAGAGATAAAATCCCATTTCTGGTTTCATGGACCTAGTTGGCTGAGAATTGAGCATACATCCATGTAGATTAATCCAAACTGTTTCTTCGATTGGCCAAAGTTCCTATTATTAAAATTATAGGAGATTTCCCAAACTCATGTTCAGATGTCTGTGAAAGTTCCTTCCCTAGAAGTTTTTAAGTCTCAGCTTGACAAAGCCCTGGTTGGGATGATTTAGTTGTAGTTGGTCCTGCTTTGGTTAGGGAGCTGGACTCGATGACCTCCTGAGGTCTCCTTCAGCTCTAGGATTCTATGATTCTAAGATTCTGTGGGTGTGTGTCCATCCACACTCACATACCCTTTAGGATGCAGGCAACACCAAATGAAAAAAGGCCAAGGTTGTTGACAAATGTGACATGACTGTGAACTCAGAGTAAAATCAATCCATGTCCAATTAAAATGGGCCAGGAGTCTCACCCCAGAGCACCATGCAGAACCTGTTTCTTGGTGTTTATTTATCAAGACCAAAGGACAGTTTAGTCTAAACAATAGCTTACTGCAGTCTTCCTGGTGTGTATCTTATTAGTGTTAAACATCTTTGGCAACTCAATGAATTTTTATCCTTTCGTGAGAACACTGTTTATCATTCACCAACTGTAGACATAATTCAGCTTCTATCAATGAAAAGCAAGCAGAGTAGCAACTGGTGAAGGCCAAGTGAAAGCTGCTGTTTAAATCACATTGCTTCGTTTAAGGTATTTAAAGTGGCCTTTTGGATTTAAAAGGATCAGATCATGGTTCTGGGGAAACAAACAAAACACTCCACCAGTACTATGTATGTCTTAGTGCTGGGGAGGGGACAAGGAGGGAATGTACAAAACATTAAAGATTTTCAACAACATACCAAAAAACACCCACCACCAGATAAACCTGATTTACAATTGATGTAAAATGTTGATTTTTAATTGTATCCATATTTTGCATTCATGGGGAGACAACCTTGGTTTTAATTATACTCCCTTCTGAAACAAACCCCAAACAAGGAACCATTTTAAAGATGGCTGAAACAGAGTAGATGCAAACAGACACTTATTCTCTCAAACACCACTCAGGAAGGCTCAGGCAAAGGGGAAAAGGCAAAATTCTTGATCCAGCAAAGGGAAAAGGCAATATCCTTTACAATTAATCAGAAAGAAGTAAACACATTTTATAATCAGCAATACAATGTAAGTTAAGGAAAATATCTGATAAAATCCAGCATTGTTTCAGATATCTGATATTGTGCTCAGTTAATCTCAATTACACATATTATTTGTTTATAATGTAGCTTCAGCCAAAAGACTCAGAAATGTTTTTTACATTAGCAATGACCTGAGAGTGATTTAAAGTGATTATAATTTACCTTGCATTGTTTAACAGTGGACTTACAAATTTTTTTAATTTAAAGGAGGAGCACATATGTGATGTGACCAATGCTCTGATTTTCCCCTATAAACAAGTGAACTAAAATAGGAGATATAAAGGACATCATGCTCTTATAGATAGTGTCAATATACTGAAAGCATTGCGTGTCTTTACGGCAATCATAATTCATGCAGTGCTTGGCTGTGAGCAGGAAAAGAAAGTGAGCATATGCAAAAATTGAACTAGTAATTTAATATTTGCATATCACTTTTCAACCATAGATCTCAAAGTGCTATAACAAAAAGTAGGGAAGGATTTTATAACTGAGGCAAGTGACTTGCTCAAAGTCACAACCAACTCAGTGGCAAAGGCAGAATAAATTCATGTACCCCGTTTGCCAGCCTTTTTTTTGCAAGCTTTTAAATCACGGAAGTCCCAGCTTTATCATTTCAGACTGAATAAAACATCAGAGACTGTAGAAACTCTAGGAGGGTCTATGGGTGGTGACAAGGCATAACAAACAAACCTAGAATCACAGAACTGGAAGGAACCTCGAGAGATCACCAAGTCTATTTCTTTGCACTCATGGTAGGACCAAGTACCATCTAGATCAGGGGTTCTGAATCAGGGGTCCATAGACCCCCAAGGGGTACGTGAAGCCTTGTCAGGGGGTACATGAGGTTCAAGTATAGATAATTTATTGATTTTTTCATACAAAAAATCATATACTACTAAAAAATTATGTAAAAAAAATAATTTAAGTTTTTTGTATTATTTTCTTAAGAAAATAATATAGTGAGTAATATAGTTGACTCGTGATAGCATAAACACCTACCTAATTATTTTGAATCTCTCACCTGATCTGATGTGTAGTATCAACTGTGGGCATGCGCAGTTGAAGTTACCGATGTTGGCAAACTAATCTGTACTAGTCGACTTATTTCGTCATTTGTCACAGAAATAACTGTCAGATGCTCTTTATTAATGACAGACGTAGGCACATACAGGTGTATTTTACAAGTGTTTTTTAAATTCAGTGTGGATTACTTAAAGGTGTGTATTATATTTAGTGGTTTCTTCATACGGTAGTAGATAGTATGATTATTTGTACTGCTACATTTTTTTGAACATTTTTTCACGCATTTTTTTGATATATTATTACTAATGAGACCCATGCTTCCTTTGCTCAAAGGTACTCAGTAATGGGTATATGAAGCCATCCAAACTTAAAGAACATCTGCAGACTGTTCATCCTCAAAATGTTAACAACCCAGAGGCTATTTTTAAAATCAAATGAGCATGATTTGAATCACAGGGCACTCTCGTCCAGCACGGATTTACTCCCAGGAAGAAACCAGCACTGGAGGCTAGCTATCGGGTGGCATTACGGATCGCCAAAGAAAAAAAGCCCCATACTATCGACAAGACCCTGGTGAAACCGTGTGCCATCGAAATGGTCGAATTAATGTGTGGTACAGAAGCAAAATCAAAAATAGCACAGATTCCATTATCAAATGATACCATTCATGATCGAATCAAGGACATGTTAGAAGATATCCTCAAACACGTGGTGCAGGAAATCACCTTGCAGATGTATTTAGAATCCTAAACTCACTAAACATTTCACTCCAATGTAGTAATATAATTACTTTGGAGGCCGAAGAGAAGATCAAATCCTTTCAAAAGAAATTAACTCTCTGGGGAAGAAGAGTGAATTGTGGTAACTTCACCAGTTTTCCTCTCTTTGATTAAATCACTTCCGATCCAGTACAGCCAAATCCAGTGGAACCAAGAGTTCATGAAAGTATTATTATGCATTTGGAAAACCTTAAAATCGCCATTGATGAAATTATCCCAACTGGTTTGGCAGCTGACATTTGGGTGAGGAGCGCTTTCACAGTGTCTCTTGAACAAATTAGTGATACTGACCTGGCAAAAGACAAACTACTCAAGTTGAGAAATAATAAAAAGCTTTGCGTCGGCTTCGAATCAATGACATTGTACCAATAATGGTGTAAACTCGGTGAGGCATTTCCCATTCTGACAAAACGAACTTACCAAGTTTTAGTTCCATTTGTCACAATTTACCTTTGCAAGTTGGGCTTTTCAGTGCTTGCCTCGATAAAAACCAAAGCAAGGAAAACATTAAATACAGAACATGATATGCGTGTGGCTCTCTCAAAAACGACACCTAGGATAGAAATGTTGGTTAATAGTAAGCAGCAGCAATGTTCGCATTAGTGGGACTAGTGTGGTTTGTCCAATTGTAAACAGACATTTTGTGCAATTTTTAGTGTTTTATTTTTAAAATACATTTTGTTTAAAATGAAAATCTGTTGATATTTATGTCTTATAAGATACCTGTAATTTTGATTATTCACATTAAGTTATAAAAAAATGTTATTATCAAGAGGGGTACATGATGTATTTAGCTGAGACCAAGGGGTACGTGGACCGAAAAAGGTTCAGAACCACTGATCTAGATCATCCCTGACAGGTGTTCGTCATCGGAGATTTTTAAAAGCAGGTTAGACAGAGATTCCATATGCAATTTATTCCAGTGCTTAACAGACCTGACAGTTATATAAAGTGTTCTAACCCACACCTTCCTTGCTGCAATTTAAGCCCATTGCTTCTTGAGCTGGCCACACCATATCATGTCAGAGAAGACATGACTGCCCCAAATTTGAGTGAGTAGAATTTCAACCTGGAGTGTGGGCCTACAGAGAGTTGGCAGGGCTAAATCAGAATGGTGTTGTGACTGCATGGCAGGTCAAAATGCCCAGCACAGAGAGCCAGCCCCAGCCCTGGAGGACAGGATCTGCAGGAGCTGCAGCTGCAAGATCTGGAGTGGACTTGCTCTCTAAATCCAAATCATCCCCCACAGCCCCTCTGCATTTCTCTTAGTATTTTTAAAATAAAAACCCCATAGGTTTTACTAAAGTTACTGTGACTGCCTCCTGATTTTTAATTTAAAATATGCTGCAGTCATAGCCATGACATGATGTGGCTGATTCATCTTTCACTTACAGCAGTGGAAATCAGACATGACTCTATTTATGTTACTGGAGTGAAACCAGGGTAAAACAGTGAGTTGGTTAGGCCTATAATATTTGCTGTTCTATGAGGTCATATGACTAAGAAAGATCAATATGAACCAGTACTGAGTAGCAACTGACTGTGGAACCTATTTTGTACTACTCTAAATCAATTTTGATCTTATGATAGATTAGGGTGATCTGAATGAAAGAATCAGTTTAGCATATTTGCTGTCTTTGGGAGCTAGTAGAAATGGAAACACAGGTTGGAAGTCCATATTTAGGCTCCCAAAAAAGTGACCTAAAAGACAGGGTTTTAAATATGTATTTACAAACTGAGCGCCAGGCACCAAGTTTTTAAAATCTTGGCCCAGGGTTTCAAAGGAGGCAACCCTTAGATGAGCACACACAGATGACCAACTAGCTCTTACATAGCACTTTTCATCAGAACATCCCAAAGCACTTTACAGAGGACGTGTGTGTTATTATCCCCATTTTATAGAGGGGGGAACTTAGGCCAGGGCTGGGCTGGTGAAGTGACTTGCCCAAGGTCACCCCACAAGCTTTGGCAGAGTCAGATACAGAACCTAGCTCTCTTTAAGCGCTATCCAGTAGGCTACACTGTCACTGTGAATGGCTGGACTGGTAATAGACTGGGAGGGGGGGGGGGGGGCTAAGGAAATGTTTCTGGATTTGAAGATGTATTCATTTATAGTGGCTCAAAGCCAGGAAGTTGTGCAGAGAAACAAGAGAATAAAACAAAACATTAACAGGATATATCTCCTCTTCTTCTGAGCACAGGATACTTACTATCTACTCTCTGCCTATTCCTGGAGGCTTCAGCCAAGTATTTGTGCAGACAGTCTAGATTGTTTAAAACTAGAAATCACTATGTTTTAAGCAAGCAAAAATGATTGCAGTGCCAAAGTCTGTAACAGACACAGCTTAGTTTGTATTTTCCAAGAGGTCCAGATTCTAAGCTGGTTATCATAAGTATTTTTGCTGATCATTAAACACAGTGTAATGTGTTGTCTTAGTGACGATTTGCAATTAAAAACTTATTAACAAAGCGCAATGATAACGAGAGGGATAAAATGCCAAGCTGTGGGATTACTTAATTATGTGAAATAGTTTTACCAAACCCCAGGCTCCATGGAACATTTTTCCTCTGTCTAACAAACAATCAGTTCTTGCTGAATTCTAATTAGCTTCAGTAATGTTGATCCCACTAAAATATTAGTGGCAGAAAATGCAAAATGAATGTTTCCATTAAATAGCTGCCTTCAGGTACAAATCAGTTCTGTAAACTGCAGACTAAAGCGAGGAGCTTTTAAATCCCAGGCAATCACAGGAGACAGCTGTAGATTAGCTTTAAAGGATAAGAAGTCGAACTGTAATGGGGAGGTGACACAGAAAGTGATATATTGTCTATAGCTACACGTGGAGCCAGAGCTGAAGAGAGACTTGCTGGGCCCTGGGCAAGGTGGGAAGGGGCCTGGGTCTGTGCCTCTGGGAGGGGCTGGACCTCAGGTGGAAGGTGTGGGCTGGGACTAGCCTCCCCCAGCCAGCCCATCAGGGTACCCAGGGCACACTGTGCAGAGCTCCAGTGGTGATTTAAAGGCCCCAGGGTTCCAGCCACTGCTGCAGTAGCAGTCACTGGACCGCTGGGCAGCTGCCTCCTTTGTCCCTCCCGTTACGGCCTTGCTTGGAGCTAGGAGTGTGATTCCTAGCTTGAGTAGACATACCAGTGCTAACTGTGAATGAGCCAGTGCTCTAAAAATAGTAGGGTAGTTGCAGTAGCATGTGCAGTAGCATGGCACAGGCTAGTTGCCCTAGGATGTACACACAGATCCTAGGACAAGAAGCAATGGGCTGAAACTGCAGCAAGAAAAGATTAGACTGGACATTAGGAAAAACTTCCTCACTGGCAGGGTGGTTAAACACTGGAATAAGTTGCCTAGGAAGGTTGCAGAATCCATCTCTGAAGATATTTAAGAGCAGGTTAGATAGATATCTATCAGGGATGGTCTAGATGGTACTGGGTCCTGCCATGAGGGCAGGGACCTGGACTCAATGACCTTTTGAGGTCCCTTCCAGTTCTACTGTTCTGTGATTCTATGGTCCTGGCAGCTTTGAACTGGTAAGTGGGAAGCCCATGCTCACCATGCTACTGGTATCTACACTACTAGTTTTACAATGCTAGTTTGGTGAGAGCTCATGTGAATATATCTACTCAAGCAGGGGATCACATCCCCCACTCCGAGTGTGGACGTAGCCCTTGATTTAGTAGACACATTGTGATGTCCAAGGTATCGCCCAGTGTTTGCATGTAAAGCTGCACATAAAGCAAACGCAGTTTGGAGACTTGGGCTTGCTTTATCTGGATATAGAACTGGAATCTAACAAGAAAAGACTTGTGGGAGATTTTTTGGCTTGATCTAGGTTGGAGATGTTTAAAAAATAGCCTCTCCTGTGGTATTTCAAAAATTTGCTGAAATGAGGAAGTAAAGAGGCACATCAAAATGAAAAAAAAATAATCTTCCAACACTCACTCCCAACACTGAAAAAAACCCCAAAACCAGAGTTGTGATTTGGTTGAAGGTTCTAGTTCATACATAAACAAGATCACACCCCATTTCTTATTATTGGGTAGTAGGCAGATTATCATATTTATTATCTACTTTAATCTGTCACCACTGGATTCTAGGTATTGCTATTAGAGTCTTGACTTCCCCCCCCCCTCTAATGGATGTTCACCAGTTTGCTATATGGAACTCACGGTACCTCTACGATGATTGTTTATTTCAGAATAAACTATTCCGGAAGATATATTCCAAAATAGCTTATTTCAAAATAGAGCACCTATACTTTAGAGAAGCCTCAAAATTAGTCCAAGGCAGGCTCCCCTAATGTGGATATGTTATCTCGATTTAGAGCCCCAGGAGGCACTGGGAAGGAATAACTTAGAATGGCCCTGGTGAGGAGCTATTTCAACATATCCACACTGCAGCTATTTCAAACCATCGATTTCTGGCATTATTCCTCATGCAATGGGGTTTACAAAAGTTGGAATAAGCTGTCCGTTATTTTGAATTTATTTTGAAATAACAGAATTGCTGTGTAGATGCTCGCATTGTTATTCCAGAATAATGGCTGTTATTCCGGAATAATGGTGCAGTGTAGACACACTCTCAGTCTCCACTTCCCAAGTGCTTCCAAGCTCAGTGGGTCTGACAGATTGCAATAAGCAATGATACTCACAAGTTGACCCAGCCATATTCCTAAAACATTCACATCTTCTGAAGTAATTAATTAATGATTAATTAGTGTTACAGGAGATGAGGCTAATTTAGCTATTTGCAAAGGGCAAAATTAACTAGTTGTGAAAGGTTCCCTTACTTCAATAAGTCTCACAGGGATAGTCTAGCAAAAGCTGCTCCAATAAAAGATGTTACCTCACCTACCTTGTCTTTAACAAAAACAAGGAATTCTCTCTTTATCTCCTTTGCCCCACTCCTCTCTGCCTGCCTTAACCTTTGCTAGTATACCAAGGAAAAAGCCCCTCATTCACTGAGCCAGAATAACTATCTTGAGGCAGGCAACTCTGACCTATCCTTCCTTTAACCTTTTCCTCAGTGACTTTATGGCCATAGCCTTTGCTGAAGTGAAAAACAAAGGATCAAATGATTAATGTGTAATAATTTCTATGGGATTAGACACTTTGAAAATAATATATTTCTCTTAAATAACTTAATATAGTTCAAGCTTTCATTAATAGAATGATCAGAGCTGGAATTCCTCTGAATAAAATTTGTCAAGAATGCCTTTACGCTGAGACAGAAAATAGCTCCTTGTGTTTAATGTCACAGTTGGATGGATAGAAGTCTCATAGAATATGAGTATTGTTCTCTCCAATGTCAAATTGGCCTGCTCTCCCTAACTCTGAAATATGTAACTGTAGAATATTTTTAGACACAAGTCTGTACGAATAAGAGCTGACTTAGCATGCTTTTCCTTGTAGCCTTTTCTGGGATTTATGCAAGTGGGAGCAATGAGGAAAGTCACACAGTTTTAAAGTGATGTCCTGGTTCAGCGAAGGCAATGGAAAAGAGCTTACAGTCAGACATTGGTTTCTATTTTTTGTTGTTGAGTCTATAAATAGGATGTAATCATTCTCGGGTGCTATCCCCATCATACCATGGGTTATGTGTAAGGCCCGTGTCAGCTCCAGCAGGCTCTTGTTTTACTAAGAAGTATTTGCTGTAGATTCCACCATCTATAGTGAGTTTTAAAAATCTCTCCCCCAGAGTCCTGCAGAGTAGTATGTTCCGTTTCAACATTCATCCTCCTCCAGCTCCTCCCACTGATCTAACTGGCGACACCAACACAACTGCGAGGTCCAGGCCTTATTTAAGCTGAATTCCTGCTATCTTCAGTTTTGGCGTATGATCACTTACCTCTTCTCATGGCTTTAGCTGCTGTGTCAGTTTCTCTTTCAGTCAGGAGGTGGCTTATTTAAATTGCAAACTTTTTTGGGGGGTGGTGATTGTTTCTCATTCTGAGTTTGCCTATTACAGCAGGTATCCCTATCTCGGTTGGTCTTGAGGGGCTACTGCAATACAAGTAAATAGTTATTATTATGCCCTTTGGCCAATGTGACTGTCATCATCTTCTGGATATCACCATGCAAATAAACAAACAGCTCTCCTGGCTACAAGCATCCAATAGAATAAATGGCCTCTTCAGCACAGTTGGCCTGGTTTTACATATTGGCCTTATTTCATGGATCAAACAGCAGAAAGTGTGTTGTAAAATGTTTACCTTTAGAACTACATGAATCAGAGCCATCTGTGATTTTCCTCTCCATCAGAAGTTTCTTCCCAGTTACTCTCTTGACTCATCCCAGGGACCAGGGTACAAAGATCAAAGGGTAACTAAACAAAAAGGTCCAAGCTCAATTGAACCTGGATGGATTTTTGGCTGCACTGGTCGGAGGCTCTCCACCATGGTTATGACTAGCTTCCACAGAACGTACTGAGGGTTGAGAACAGGAGAATTTCCTTCCTTCCTTTTCTGGAAACATACACTATTTTCATCCTAGATTTCTACATTTTGTTACTATGCCCCAGCATCCCTCCGTTGACCCAGAAACCTCTCCAGATAAGACACTTGCACACTCCTCACATAAACAAACTAACCCTGTTGGAGCTTTCTCCTTCCAGAGTCTCTCAGTGCTAGCTCCGTGAGACACCTTCAGCCTCTGCTCAGGCTCCATATATAGCCCATCTTGGAAAGGCTCATCAGCCACTACTGCTCTCTGCTCACTTTATAGTGAAACCTACACTTTTCTTACCAGTTCTGCTGCTGGGGAAAAAAAAGGGTAGTTTTTTTCATATATTCCAACATAAATTACTGCCAATCATAAGCTTGCATTAAAGGGTCTTTCACACTGATGGACAGGCCCTCCTCCATTACATGAGTTTGCAAAGTCCAAAATACAGTGGGAAGTGCAGTGTTTCTGCTGTGTAGTCGGGCTGGAATGCAGTGATACTTGTGTGGTGGAGCTGTGTGCTGTGCTGTGGATTTCAGCGCCTGCTTGATGCTACTCACCCTTGAAGGGGGAATGTACTGCAGCACAGTGTTACCAAGGCATGGAATCACTAAGGCTGTGAGGTGTGCTTGCGCTCTGTTTTGGAAGGCAGCGTTCTGGGTAGCAGGCAGCAGCACAGTGGCCCCTAGCAAGCTCCCACAGCTGAGTTAGTGTGGTTGTTAAATACAAACTCTCTGTGACTCAGTAGGAAAAAAACCAATATAATCAACAGCTCCATGCTAAGCATTTGTACACTGTTCCAGTCCCTAGAATTAGAGCAAGCAGCAGCTAATGCACTCTATGTTTCCCTGGATGTGAATGTGCCCTTGTTTCACTTGCTGGCTGGGGAGGAGAGAAGAATATTCACCCACTCTGCATACAGTGGATTTTACAGGCAAAGCCTTATAACTCAAGCTCTGCTTGTGGGACCAAGGTCTGACCTTGTGCAAAAACTTCATGTCTGGGCCCATAGTCACAAACAGTGGGTTTTGGAGAAGAAATTAATTAGGGTACATACTGATTGGAGCCTGAGTACATTGCTATCCTCCTGGTACTTACTCAACAGGTTGGTATAGAACAACACACACAGGAGAATAGAACACCACAGACAGGAGTATAAATAAGATGAATTGACTGCTGACAAAAGATGCTGGATAGACATCCCAAATCCTAGGTTTATCTAAAAAACCCAGACATAGCAGCAGATACACAAGCTTTCATCAGCTCATTCTACCATTGTATCTTAGTGTAACCTGGGGGGCTATCTATAGGGAAATCATGTACTAAAGCAAGGCCTTACAGTGAAGTATTTCATGCTGTTGCTATATGTTTGGGAAGGCAGCTATGCCGCCCCTTTACTATTTTACCTACCTCCTATCCCATTTTGGATTGGAATGTCTCCATGAGCGATCAGGATTTTAAAGCATGAAGCTCAATGAAAACTCGTAAGGAGATTTTTTTCCCTCTCTCTCTTACATTTCCTATTGTTATGAAAGCAACAAGCAGCTTTCTTTGGAGATCAAATAATAATTATCCAGCTCAGAATGGGGGAGGGGGAATCAGCATCCTACATGTGACATTCAAGCCCCTTTCACAGCCTGTACACTTCTGGGTTTGCTTTTTCCTACTACCCCAGGATGCCTTTTATAATTTCCCATGATTGTTCATTTATGCTTTCAGACTTTGGATCCAAACTGTTTCTTATGCTTTGGTGATTCAATCACTTGTGCAATTTTCTTTCTTTGTGGGCATAAGGTTTTATCCTGCAGCTCACAAATTAATATCCTGTCGCACCTAACGTGCCTACTTCTTCTGAAGCCCAGTCACTTTCCTAATTACCTTGACTTATCCAATACACAGCATATCTCCTTTTTGAAACCTTGTCTCACACTCATTTCTCCTGCATAGGGAAATCACTTTGTCCTCTTTTTTGCTGGAACAAGGCCCAGTCATCTTTACCATTATTCTACTCCAGGTGTCTTCTCTCATGTTTTATTCTGACAGCAGCACATTTGGGAAATAGAGAGGATGGATAATAATCAGTGGCTTCCAACTTTTCTGCTCATGGGAATTCATATTCAGTTCCCTCAGCACTTCAAACCATTTCTAGCTGTAGAGATGGTACTTTGCCCTCTAGTCTCTTTGCACATTTTGGGGAAACTTCACTGTCCCTGGCTTCTGGGAATGGGTGGAACAGCTTGCTCTGCCATGACCGGGGCTGGATCCTTCACTAATTCTAAAGAGCTGGGCTTTGAACTTCCCTGTCTTCTTGGTTCCAGCTCAGTAAATAGAATGCCAGTTAGCTGGCCCTGACACCATACACTGTTGCTGCTACCCTGCCGGAGACCCACCTCAGGGCTGTTATTCTCAGGTCGAGAAGTGTGTGTGTTTGATTTAGGGAATTTTCCCCGGGGTTGAGAACACAAACAGTTACAGTACTATTTAGAGAAGACCAGACTGAAATACACAAACCACTTAGAAAAAGGGTGAGGGGGAAATCAGGAAGTGAGTTCACTTACCAGAAACCCCACCAGTTAGCCCATTTCCGTTTATGCTATCAGGAATACTCAGAATATGAATATTGCATGACACTGCTAAATTTTACAGTCTCACATTCTTCTTGCAGTATTGGTGTTTTCAATCAATGCCTCTGTTAGTGATTTCAAGTGCTCGGCTTGAGCTTGTGATTCCATCACCTTATCGCAAAAGCCTATGAGATTTATTAGCAGACTCTCCAGGAGAATGCAGTGTAGTCCTTCCAAGTGTAACGGCATCTAACTTTGAATCAAATGAATCATATTTCTCCCCCCCCCCCCGCTGAACTGCATTAAGTACAGTATGTAGAGAAACCTTGCCATCAACTGTGGCAGATTTACAGATCTGGAGGAAAAAAATTTTCAGTTGATTATCTATTTCTATTACAGAGGTCGTACAGAGAGACACAGGTAGGGGCGCCGACTGTGAAAATAATCCCATCACATTTCTATTATCTTTGTCATCACTGCTCAACTTGGACATTGTACTCTTTTCTCCTCTACTTGCTGCCTTTCTCTTTCCTTCACATAGGGAGATAATTAGGTGTCTTCAGATACCATAGTGTTGGACATTATAAAAACCTATATATAAGAAGCTACCTTTAAAATACACACACATGCACAAAGGGAAATTAAAAATAGCCTGAAGAGTGAGGAGGCATCACCAAATAAATTCACAGGAAAAGAAAACAAGGAAGAAGCACTATGCTAAGCTGGAGGCAGGATCAAGATGAACCCAGGCCTGTCCATCAAAACCCATTAAAAGATTGGCATAAAAAGAAGTAACTAGATGGATAGGGACACTATAGCACTTTTGGGGAGAGAAACTCCACCAGTGTAACTTGTGACAGCCCCAGTGAATCCCATGGATTTGTGACAATTGACACAAGTTGAAGATCTGTGCCTTAGTTTTTGTCCAGGGCAATGGAAAGAGATGACCTCATGTATCTGATGCATTTAATGATGCAAATAAAAGCCAAAGATTTCTCTGGTTCATAGGAATCAAAATGTAAACATTTTTACAATGAACTCTTTTCTATTCAATATATGAAACCAGGCCAATTGAATGCTACATGTTTGTGTGTATGTATACACACATATGTGCTCTGAAAGTAAATATTTTCCCTGAAAGTGACACTGGTAAATATTACCATTTTATTCCTAAATTAAGTACATACTAATACTGAACTGTTTGTGTGGGTAAAATTGACGAATGATTATTGTGGTTGGCTTTTTAACTACGAATGCTAAATTACACATAGGCATGAAAAGTCTGCATCTATCTTCATGGAGAACTTACCTGAACATCTTTCCAGGGATAACTCTTATTTATTCAGCTGGCGTGATTGAATTTTCATGCATGCAGTTAATTGCCAGGAAACATTTAGGAAGTAGTGAGTACAGTAAAACCATCAGCATCAGAGTCAAAACTGTAAGTACATCACACTACTTATTCAAAACTGTCTGATTTCTGCATGTGTGCGTGCCCACACATACACATATCAAAATGAGCAGCAAAATCATGTGTGCACTCTGCGAAGATTTAGGCTTATTATTCCAAATGTCAGCATCCTGGTATTCTGAATGTTCCTAAAAACAACATTTAAATACTATCTTCCATTTAAATCTGTTATTCAGATCTATGGACTTGGAAGATTAACATGTTACAGTGCAGAAGTTTTTGTCAAGTAGAAGTCTTGTAAAAAGCAGCAGAGTAATTCTGCATCGGTAGTATTAGTGTTAGGTGAATAGTGCAATGTATAAATTATGAATATCTGAATGAAACCTTAACATTTGCTATCAGTGAACCTTTTTATTTGCTTTCTCTGAACAATTGTCTGAGTGAATTTCTGTCCACAAAAGTGTTTGAAAGAGAAAGTGTTGCAAACAGTTACATGAATGTTTACAGGCATGAGCATTCATGCTGGAAGCATAGGCATGGGGACATACCGAAAGCCCTTTGTAGATCTGTGAATCATCCAATCAGCAGGCAGAAACCTCATCATGTAACGTAGGAAACCAGCCAGTTCTTATGAAAAGGGAGTATATGAGACACAGCTCACGGAGAGCAATCCAGAGGTTGAAATACATTCACATCTGAAATTATTAAGTAGTAAAGAAATCAGTTAAATTTTACCTTTTGGGGTATGTCTAGACTGCATCCCTCTGTCAGCGGAGGGATGCAGATTAGGCAGGTCAACATTGCAAATGAGGCAGGGATTTAAATATACCGTGCCTAATTTGCATAAAATGGCTGCCACGTTTTGCTGTCTCAGCACTTCATCAGCAAAAAGTGGCATTCTAGATGGGGATCTGTCGAGAAAGAAAGCCTTTTTTGACAGATCCTGTAAACCTCCTTGCAGGAGGCAGAAGGGATTGAAATCCCTGCCTCATTTGCAATGTCGACCTGCCTAATCTGCATCCCTCTGCCGACAGAGGGATACAGTCTAGACATACCTCTGGTGAGTAACTCATGAATAGAAAAACGGACTAAATTCATCACAGGGAATCATTTGCCTAGTTCTGGTTAGTAGATATTAATGTAACCACCAGTTTCACAGAGATTCATAGATTTTCAGAGAGGCACAGAGTTTAAGACCAGAAGGTTTCACACAAATCAGAGTATTTACCTTTGAGCCCAATAATTCATATGGAAATTCCATCACCTTGGTCAGTAGCTCCATGCATAGGAACACTACTACTTAGCTCAGGCTGAAATCCATTCAGTCTGCAGAAAGTGGTTCTTTTCCAGACCCCAGCGGCTGCAACTCTAGCTCTTCTACCCTGGACTAAATAGGTCTGAGTATGAAGGGTGTTCAGGAAACCGCCCAGTACAGCCCCTCCTCTGTGTCTCCCTCCTCACCACAGGAGAATCTCACCCATACTGCAGTTTTCAAGTTGCTTTCCACTTTACAGGTGGGGAAACTGATGGCACAAAGGGAGAGGGCACAAAGGCTGTCTTCCCTGTTCAGGACCCAACTGCTATCCGCTCTACTGAGCAGTTCCTTATAACCAGGGCTGCCCCAGCAAGCTACCTTCTCATTGGTGCCTTATAAGCCTCTTGCCCATTGGCTGGGGCTCTGCACATGCTCTCTCCAGACTGCTTTAATTCATCTGGCCAGAGTGGGATTGCCTCCCCACTACACAAGCCCTCTTGACTTTTAGTCTGATGCCCTTGTGCACTGGAACACACTGCCTCTCATGCATGGGGTACTTTTAAATCCTTACATAAAACATATTTTAAAACCTACCAGAGCTGTTTTCCGTGCACCCCCAGAATCCTGCTAAACTGGCACATACGTGTCTAGATACCTTCAGTGTCATCTCAGCTTCTGGACCACATGAGTATATGAGTCTAAATCTTCGCTGACAGTAATCCTAGACCGCAAGTTTTAATGCTCAGGATGTCTATTTGGCAGAGCAAATTGGAATGACTCCCAGGGCTGCTGCTAACTTCTTGGAGTGCTGCAGAGAATCCTTACCAATATCTGGAAAACTGATTAGAAGCACAGGTGGGGGAATCAGAAGCAGGTATTGTTGCAAGGGGATGTGGATTGCAACTGCTTTAAACACTAAGGAGAGGGGATCACCACATAGGAGTGTAAAGGATTTGTTTATTCAACTAAAACTGGGAAGCGAGGGGAATCTCACTCGTACACTCAATCACACTTACAGTCCCAGGCAGGACGATAAGGCAAGCAGAAGGCAGTTCATATTGTTTGATCTTCCCAAGTTGACTCCTAAGCTGGTCCGCTGGCCGGGGGATCTGAGCAGAGGGTGTTCTGGGAGGCTCCACTTGATGGTCAACCCACTGTGTCTCCTATAGACAACCACCTAACCTCAAGATGATTCTTACCAACAACCACAGGACATGCCACACTAATACCAACCCTGGTACCTTCCCTTGCAACAAACCCCGTTGCCAGCTTTGTCCACATATTCATTCTGCTGATACCATTATTGGACCTGTCCAAGTGAGTTATAAGATCAAGAACACATATTCCTGCGCATCCAGAAATATAATCTATGCTATCATGTGCCGAAAGTATCCGTCTGCTATGTACATTCGACAAACATCTCAGACACTTCGCCAAAGGATTAATACCCACAAAACGGATATCAGACAAGATCACAAAGAAAAAACAGTTTCTTGCCATTTTAACCAGAAAGGACTCTCTCTCAATGACTTAACCACCTGCATTCTGCCACAAAGACCTTTTACATCTGCACTTGAAAGGGAATCCTCTGAACTGTCATTCATGTTAAAATTCAACGCTCTCCAAAAAGGAATGAACAAACACTTGAACTATCTCACCCATTACCAAGATAGCTTCCTCAATTATCACCTCTAAAACCATTAACTCACAAACATCCCACTCTCCCCACCTCTGATATCATCAATTCACAGACACTTACCTTCCTTCCTCCCCCCCCCTTGCATCCCCCTCCTGTTCTCCAATGTGATTTGTCCTTTTCATATGTGTTCATTTTTTTAATTGTATCCTTTGGTATATATGGTTGTGACTATTTTCTTCCACTATTTGATCTGAGGAAGTGGGTCTGGCCCACGAAAGCTCATCATCTAATAAACCATCTTGTTAGTCTTTAAAGTGCTATATTGTCCTGCATTTCACTGTGTCTCTGTCCCTCTCTTCTTTACGGATCAGCCACATTCAGCCTCTGAGTCTGGGCCTCTTGGGGCCGTGTGCACTCCCTGCTGGGGCCATGTGCATTGTTGTTTACTCCTGTTGTTTACCTCAGACATTCTTCGGCACTCACTCAGGGAAGAGATAGGGGGTTAACAGACAACACTCTTGGTTTAGGGAACCAAATAACATTAACAGGTAAGAAAGAACAACCACCATTTTAACTCTCCCCTTGCTCCTCCTTTGCCTCCAACAGGTATGATACAGAGAAACTGAGCAAGGCACATCAACCTTTATAGATGTGATTTAAAAAATAAATCCTGTTGAAAGTGCTCTGGAACCTGACATCATCTTTGTCTTCACACTAAGCGCTTTAGAAAAGCTTGTCAGTGAAGGAAAAAGAAAATCCAAACAAACCCAATACTGAGCCACATGGCACTGCTGATGGCAATATATCAGCCCTAAAAGCCTTTAGTACACAACAGTCATAGCCTGGCTGAGATGTTCAAAGGAGCCTTAGGGTGTGTCTACACTGCACTGGAGGTCAAAATAAGATATGCAGTTTGAGCTATGCAAATTGCATCTCTTATTTCGATGTTATTATAGTTTATTTCATAATTTGGTGCTGTCTACACAGTACTTATTTTGAAATAAATCACTATTCCAAAACGTCCCTTACTCCTCGTGGAATGAGGTTTAAAGAGACATCAGAATAGCGAGCCTGTTATATTTCGAAATAATGGGTGCGCTCAAAAGACATGGAATAGCTATTTCGGGATACCTCCGGTATCCCAAAATAGCACAGCAGTGTCGATGTAGCCTAAGAGAATTAAAAGAACTGGGTACCTAAATCTCTTAAGGACCTTCAAAAGTGTTGGGTCCTTCTTCTCTTGAAGTCTTCTGATCAAGACTGGATGCCTTTCAGGGGGATATGCATTACGCAAAGCACAAGCTTTTTCAGCTCAGTTCTCAAGTAACTGGATAAAATTCTATGGGTTGTATATTATATGGGAGGTCAGATTAGATGATCTAAAGGTCCCATCTGATTTTATATACTTACAAATCTATGCTCAGATAGCCCATAATTAATATTTTATGGTGAAAGGCATTCTACTAGCTGTGAAAGCATGCCTTGTTCTAACATATCTGAGAGCACTTAAATGGAAGAGAAAGGTAGAAATAAGGGGAGATTTGGCTCTCTACTTTCTGCCTTCCCAGAATGTGTGCTGGGGTACCTGTGCCAGCCAGGGTTTTTCTCATCCTTTGAAAGACCTTGCAGTGAAAGCACTGCTTGGAGAAAGTGTGACTAGCAGTGTGACTTGGTAGGCCCATGTTCACCACCCAAGTGCCACAGTGTAAGACAAGGTCACTCATGGCCACAAACTTAAGACTAGAGCAATCAAAATAAAGTTTTAACGTTTTTTTTGTTTTTATCCTGTTTTTGACTAATTCTAGTCTCTTTCCTTTGAGGAAAAAGCCTGTTCCCATTTCAAGTGGGCTCTCCAACTAAACTAAGGCTGTCAAAGAATTTTTTTCAGGGCTGGTCTCCTTGGTAAGTTATTGCACCATAAGCCAGTGTGTGAATCTACAGTGTATCAGTTAGCTGAGCAGTAACTTGCTCTGTGGTCACTGCTTCAGTACAAAACTTAGGACTTCCATTAGGCTGTATCAGGGCTTACATGACGAGTTGCCACATGCAAAGCTGGTGTGCTGTAGAGTCACACAGTCATTTGCTGAGCAGTAACTCACTGGAGACAGAAGCCCTCAGTCTGCTGCCATTCTCCAAACAGGGATCCTCTGCAATGCCTGTAGGGATGGTAGGCACCTCTTAGCCCTGAAGCAAAGAGGTTTTCAGCACTTTCCTTGTTAAATGTTCTATAAGCTGTTACAACCAGAGACTGACTTGATGAAGCGACCCTCAGAGGCAGCATCTCCTACAAGCACCTTTTTAGGAGTGATGCCAAGGTACGAGGCTTTAGTATGTCCATTGTGGAAGGGCTGCCACAGAGTGTGTTGTTTTCAGTGCATCCACAGAGATTTCATTTATCCCAAAGACAGAGGATTATTGACCCACGCCAGATTCATTCATGAGCTTGCTCCATGTTATAGTTAGCAGAGAAGAGGAGAGGAGAGGAGAGGAGAGGAGAGGAGAGTTCTCCAAAAGGAAATGCTGTTGGATTCTCTACAACAATGGTTCCCAACTTTTTTAAACTGCAGACTGGCAAACCCATTCACAAACTTTTAGTGGACCATCAACATTCATTTGCATATTTATTACACAAATAATAAATGTGCAAATAAATGTTACTGGTCCACCAAAAGCCCCGGCCCCCAGAGCCGCCATGGACAGCTGGCTTCAGCTCTGGCAGTGGCTCATGCACCCAACGCCCCCAGAACCTTCCCCAGTGCCAGTCCCCAGTCCCCAATATTAGCCTCATTCCCAATGCTCCCCAGTGCCTGCCATGCCCCCATAGTTCCCCCCACTACTAGCCCCACTCCCAGAGCTCCCCCAATGCCAGCTCCCCACTCAGGATGCCCCAGTGCCAGTCCCCCACCCCTTAGAGCTCCCCAGTACTAGCCCCTGCCCTCAGAGCCCCCCAGTATTAGCTTTGCTCCCAGAGCCCCTCAATGCCAGCCCCCCACCTCTTAAAGTCTCCACCCCCAGAGCCCTCAGTGTCTGCCCTGCCCCCCTCATCTATACCTGCATTGCCTCGCAGCGACCAGTTAGTGCTGCTGCCCAGGTCATGGCTTCTCTAAGGCCACTATGCTGGGCTCCATGCAGCCCCCCTGCCACACAGCGATCCGCTCTTCTGCACGTGGGAGGAGACCCCACCCATGTCCAGTGCTGGTTGGCTGAGAGGTGGAGCAGGACACGCCTCTCCTAACAGCTCCCAATGCCTCTCCCAACAGCCCCATGCCCCCAGACCATGGTGGTGCGGCAGCCAGCAGTTTGCGGACCGGCACGGGTCCATGGACTGATGGTTGGGAATCTCTACAGCAACCAAATCTGCAGATTCTGAGACCACTGTGATCAACTACACTGACCTCTTGCAAAATACAGATCATAGAGTTTCCTTACCCCAATCAGTTCCTGTCTGAACTATAGCATATCTGCAGAAAACATCCAGCACACAATTTATGCTTACAAGTGTACAGCGGCACTGATGTACCAATACAGCTGCATTGCTGTAAGATCACATGTGTAGCCATGTTACAATGATGGCTGAGAATTCTCTCATCAACATCATAAAACCAGCACAATGAGCAGTAGTAGAAGAGAATCTCCTGCCAGCACGTGTTTGTGCCAGCAAAATTCACATCATTCGAGGGTG